ATACTGGCCCAGCTTCTTGACTCGGTACCAGGTTATCTGGGAGTCCTCCCAGAACTGGAATGCCTAGTTCAAAATCATGAAAGTCAGGTTCTGAGTTTTCAGTTTGTGATGACTCATCATCGTTTGTGTGTGAGTTTACCCCCCCTTCGTCCGATGAGGGGTTGTTGGAGGCAACGACAGCAATGTCTTGGTGTGTTTCACCGACATCTGTAATGTTGTCATTCGCGCCTTCAGATTTAGTAGCGATCAGATCACTACATTGTGCTCCTGGTTGGATTCCCATTTCAGCGCTTTTCAAAGTTTCTACAAACCTTTGTAGTTTCTCTGTCTCCTCCGAGCTCAGAGGTGTAGGGCTTTGCTCCTGGGACCTTTGTGATTTTATCGCCTCGGTTCGTTTCGTCCGAGGTGGGGGAGGGTTAGGTACGTCTTTTTGGGGGTTCCTCTTCGGATTTCCCCTGATAATATGGGTCCTCTTGGATCCCATATCTTTGCGTCCTACGCATGTCCCATATACGATGATCACGTCCATCCTCTGAAAGAGGAGCCTTTTTGTCCCAGTGTGCACCTTCATTACGTGGTTTGTTAGTTTGAAAATACTGCCTTTTCTCGCCTGTTTTAGGAGGAGGTGGCGACGTACGCCTTCCTACCATTTCTAGGGAGTGGGGTTTAACCTTTACACCAGGAAACACTTCTATGGGCGTCTTAAAATGAGAACATGCCTTGAACACATTCACTGCACACTGTCGCACGTTCGGTGGAGGAGACCTGTTCAGGTCTGTCCCTACCACTTTAGGTGAGGGTGGATTAAGAGCAGGAGGTGCAACAACGTCTTTCTGAGGTGTTTGTGGGTGACCTGAACTCTGTCCACGGTCTTCTCTGAGTTCCAGACAAACTCGCCCCACGTCAGAAATCATGTTTGTTGCTGTGGCTAGATTCTCCTCACAAGCTTTCAGGCGCTCCTGTGATGTCTGACATTCACCTTGTAAATGCCGACAATGATGGAGCAATGCCGCCTTTTCCGCTTTGCAATCCTCAAGTTGTGTTTTAAGCACATCTATTTCACCTTTGCAGCGGGAAACGTGACGTTTTCTTGTCGTGATCCCGTCTTAATGCAAAGCATGCACTGGACAACAGCTCTTCAGCATCCCTGGCTTCAGATAGTGATGCATTAAGTAACTGTATTTTGCTATTCAGTGAATCAATTTCTGCATTTGCATTTTGCTGTGATTGAAACATCTGTTCATAATGTTTTGTCATGAGGACCTCGTGTTCGCTTTTAAATTGAAGGTAGTGACCTTCAATTTCCTGAGCAAACACTTTTTCACTGTATAACCTCAGTGCAAGGTCATCAGCTTTCCTAACAACTGCATAGAATGATTCTTTCAGCAAAATTGCAATTCTAGCCAGCTTTTCATAACTTGACATTGTAATTTCTGTAGAGGTCACACTTCTTGCAACCTCCATCAGATTGTCCACTAACTCTTTTGGGTTCATGCTGTCCGCCTGTTTGCCATATGGATGTAAGGATGCTGTCAGCAGCGCTAACGCATCTTCCAAACAGTCCTTCATCTCATAAAGATCAAAATCTTTTTCCCTGACACCTGTCATGGTTATTCACCGTTCAGCACTTTTTCTGGATAAAACAATTGCCAGCTTCAGATATTTTTGCAGGTAAATAATTGTATTCAAATGTCAATGAGTTTCACACTATTTTAGCTTTGGGTTTACACAAAAGTACTGTTATAAGTCACTTATTCAAATGTGGGCACCTGTCCAGGTTTTACCCCAATTCATGAATATTTAAGTAAATGCTTCTATGCAGTGTTACTTGTATGTGCTTATTTTTCAACAGATACTAGATTACCAAGCGTCTCAGTGTCTTCCACTCTAAAGCACTGAATTTTTATAAACCTGCAATTTCTCTTTTTAGTCTCACAGCACATCAGTTTAAAAATGTTTTTAAACCGTTTACTTCCAGAAATTCGCTATTTTAAACAGTTACTCATCAACCCAGGTGGGTGAAAAGAGAAAAGAAAATTGATGATGTGTCAGGATTAATTAGTCTTTCTTCAGAAAAACTTATTACTCCTGTCCTCCTGTCAGTATCTTCTATTTAAAATTAAACAGGAAGACGTAATTTTTAGGTGGTAACTTAAACAGAAAAGTTTCTTTTTCCTGATATATTTACTCTTATTTAGTGATCTAGCAATTAAACGTGTATTATATTTCCAGCAAACGAGTAAACTCTCAGCTCTTATGATTATCTGTGACTGTGTCTACCAAAAAGTTCTCATTTTTTCATTTTGCACCTGCTTGAGGATTTATCAGTGAATGAAAAATGTCCTAGTAAACGCCTCTCTGGGCATAAATACTTTACTGACTTTTAATGGTAAGATAACATAACAGTATAAATCAGCTCGAGGAAGTTTAACTCAAAGTTCGTCTTACAGAAATAAAAAACGTTTAATTTCACTAAAATACCTAAAGATGAAGTGAAACTGTGATATGAAGTTTCCCAGGAGGGGGCAGCGTTTAGCTTTCTACCAGCAGGAGTCTATGACGACGACCTGTGACGTTCGGTTGACATCCTGTTGTTAGCCGCTTAGCTTAAAGTTAGCTTCGGCTAAACTCTGTTAAAATCAACATTTCTGAACGGTTTTAAAGCTTAAACGTGGCGTTGTTTCAACAAGCACGACTTTTAGCATTAACAATGAGTTTTCAGGGACATGTGACGGCTTTATTTAGTGATTTTAAGCACAGCGAAGGCTACGGTTGCAACCGAGCTCATTTCCGACATGGAGGAAGTGACATGACACGTCACTCATCCGGTCGTTAGCTGTTAGCTTAAAATTAGCATCGCTAGCGTTGTTCAAAAACATCATTTAATGACGGATTTTAAACTCTAACGTGGCAAAATTTCAGCGATTACATTTTGAAGAACTTAAGCAGCGGATCAAAATCAACTTTAAAGCGCTTTTCAGCTTTAAAAAGCAGATTTTATTCCCTATGAAAAACGAGTTTTCATTTCCGGGTCACGTGACTGAATCCACCAATGACAGAGCAGCACGACTGACACGTCTCTCAGCCAATGAAAGCGTTACACAGCAGCTAACTTCAACCAATCACGCAGCGTTTTCCCAACTAGCATGTTAGACTTATCTGAAATAAGTTCGTCAACTTTCTGTCTTTTAAACTGTCAAAAATGCACTTTTTCTGTTAAAAATGTAACGAATCAACTCTGAGCTTAGCTGAGACTTCGTCCAGTCTTTAAAACGTTTCTCCATCTATTTAAAACAACTCGGTCGATCTTTCTCAGAACAGAGCCGTACCAGATCAGCGTCTGGAACACAGTTTAAACAGAATAAAGCGTTTCCACAGCTCAAACCCAGCTTATGTTACACAACAGATGTACAATTTCAGCTTAAAAAAGACTCAATGACTCGGTATCAGCTTCAAAGCATCTCCAGCGTAAACATGCAGTGTTTCCTCCAAGCGCGCAGCTTCAGCTGCGTTTCAGCACAGCAAACAATCTGCTATTTTCATGCCAACACGTAAAATCAATCTTTACACGAACACACAGTCCATTTATGAACACTCCCCGTACGGGCCACCAGAATGTGGTGGAAACGTACGGACGGGCCACCAGAATGTGGTGGAAACGTG